TTTTATGTGTGTTCATAAACTGCCCAACTAGAGGAGTGAGTAAAGAAAGACTCTTATGTCATTTAAAATTTTACATATTATGAGAACATTTATAGAAATACGAATATATAACAAAATATTAACTGAAATACTTCTGGTTGTATTTTTTTAATTTACATTTTTTTTTTATGCTTCACAATCTTGTACTGAAGATTCCTGGGTATGATTTTGTTTATCATGTTCAACAGAATTTAAACATAGGATTTGTTGTGATGAAGAATATAGGGAAGATTAGGAGGGGTAAAAGGAGTGGGGAAGGATCCTCTTTTTCCCTAGAATCTAAACAGAAGAGAGGTATGATTCACCATCTTATAGTGGAAAGAAGCTTTTGCTCTTTGTGTGGAACATGGCAGCAATCATTCTCTAGTTAGATCAATGACAGAACTGCAAGGTGAACTGTATTGGTGACTAACTCATTTTCCCTCACCTACAGCACCCTCTTTTCCCAAGATCAAGCAATTTTCTTGTGTAATGAACTGTATCTGCTATCAAGTGGCCTGGAATTAAGAGGTCCAAAGCATCTTCCAAGTCCTTGTTTCCTATTTGGCATCATGATGTCCTTTGCTGCTGAAACACTGATCTGTGTTTTCCAAAGCTATAAAAAGGAGGAATGCAAAAATGAATAGAACTACAGAACAATTTTATATATAGGAGAAAGGCTTCAAAAAATTTAAATTATTCAGGGAAGAGTTTTCTAGCTAATAGGTTGTCAAATTCTTGGCATCAAATGCTTTTGTCTGGTTGATAGCCTTTTGGTCAGCTTTGTAGCAATCAGAGGGGAGCAGATGGAAAAAGAACATGCTTTGAAACCAATATCAACATTCAAAAGTGGGTTTTAGTAGTTTGATTTATGCCCATAACATACCCAAAGTCTAGAGAGAGTGAGTTCAAGGAAAAGACAAAAATATAAGTAAACTAGGTAATAAAGAAAAAAAGAGAAACATAGAATTCAAACTATACATTTTCTTAATTTACTAGGTCTTACATGGACATAGAAAATAAGAGAACTGAAATAAATTTACTTGATCAGCTCAAAATTCTAATTATATTTTCTCATAATGTCAGTGTTTTTAATTTTTTCTGTTAGCAGACAATATATTAATCACTTATTCTACTAACCCTTTCTGTTATAGTTGTTACACATTTAATGTTTTATATATTCATAAATTACCTTTTGGCGTTTACTGAAAATATCACCAGCTAGCTAATGAAAATATCTGCTGGGAGACTTTCCATATTTTATATGGAAAATGGACATTTATTAAAAGCTGCATATTTATTGGTGATTTTATAAATCAAAAGCACAGTATCAATGGGTAGATTCAGGAAATAAATGGAGCTACTAAAGAGAGAAGGTACTTATTCAATGACAGTAATTAATTCAGTGTGAAAATAACAAAATTCCACAAATATTTACAACATTAATATAAATTGTTAGTTGTAATACCAAAATATGTTGACTAAAGCTGATTGCAAATGTATACATTTTATGAACTATTTTAACTAGGAATGACTTTACCTTTAATTAAGAAGTGAAACAATGTAAGTCCCTAAACTTTATAACAAAATACAAAAAGTTCAAAGCTGGAAATAAAACAATTTGGCTCTTTGTGAGCATTTTTATGATCTATAAGAACACCTTATAAATTACTCTTAAAAGAAAAATGTGATTAAATTCAATTGCACTTGAGTAAAGCCTAGGTAGATAATTTCAGAGACAAAACTGGTTATAAACCCAAAGCCAGTCCTTTGCAAAAAGAGAAAGGAATGTTTTTAAAAACCAGATCAACGTGAATTTAACATAAAAGAGCCTGACTAGGTCTTAAGATCCAGAGCTGGGGTGATCATTGATTTAATCCAGTATGGAACTTATTACATATTTATACATGTTCTTGTTGCACTTGTGTTTTCCTATACCCCTCTTCTAAAATATCAGGGAATTCAAATGTTTTCAGTCTGTCTGAATAAGCTAGCAATTTTGGGAAATTTTAAATCATGGTCAAACTCATAAATCTTGAGTGACATCATGTTTGTGTAATCCTTTTCAAAAATAAGCGGACAATATGTTTAAAAAGACAAATATGGTCATTACCATCTAGTAAGTATTTCCAACTTTGAGAGTATTCTCAGGAAATTATAAAAAATCAAATAAAAACAAAACTTTATTATAATAGTGTTTATTCTTTATAAAGCAAAAATAATGAAACTTTCAACAATATGAACCCTGGCTTAGTAAATTACACTTATCAACTTGAATGTTACAATCATGTAAAAAAGGACAAATATAAAGGTTAAGTAGCTATGTAGGAAAATGGATATAGGTTAAAGGAAATTACTAAATTATGTTGTTCTTATATGTATATGGAAAAACTGACTATTGTAACTACAAAAAAAACAGAATTTTTATTGACTAACACTTTCGATGTAGGATTTTTTTCTCTAAGCACTATGGAATGGTTATAGCAGGTATTTATCTGTCTCCTCACACTACCTTCATGCACAACAGTAGGCCTTCCAACAAAATGGAACAGAAACACAAAGAGCCAAAAAATGGAGAGGCACCACCTGTACATTTAGAGGTATTCATGATTCTTCATTTGGGAGACCTGACTTCATTCTTACTTTTGGATTCTATTAAAAAAAAATCACCAATATCTTTATGATAATTTCCTACTTTTTGCTTCTACAGTTCAAATAGGTATCTGCAAATCAAGAAACAACACTAAGGCAATTTTTATATTTCTTTCATAATCTTTAACTTGCATTTTAAAAATGATCTGTATAAGAATAGCAAGTGCCACAGGCTAGCTAATTGCATTGCAAATAGTGTTATTTTTCCTAGGGTAGGAAGTGTACTTATTGTAGAGACAGTTCCTTAAATAATATAGCTAAGGTAAGCTAACATTTTTAGACAATATTCCAACTAATGCTAAGCAAAACATGTTAACATCATCTCTTTCTTTTGTTCTTTAGTTATACCTGTGCTTTAAATGACAATTTCAGGGATAAAGATTATCTTTTTTGCTTTGAAGAGAAAGACACTATATAAGAATTCTAGTGGATTATGTCCTTTACATCTGACTTTAATCTTTGCCTAAGAATTTATTTATTTTTTGTTGTCTTTCATGTACTGTTTACCAAGTGCCAGATAACATATGGTATAGTCCGCAAACCCTATTCTATTTGCTCTTCACAAAATTTCTGTGCTGTAATGATTCATCAATGACAAGAAACCTTCCCTCTTTTCCATAATTATTAAGAATGTTTTGGACGGGCACTGCTTTCAGTAACAGAAACCCAAAGATAATTAGGAGAGGGGCCTGATGTAAACAAAACAAAAACTGCCTGCAGTCTGGCTGGGCACAAATAACCGAGAGGCCACTAGCCACTTGTAGGTTCAAACAGGAACTACTTTATTGCCCGAACCCCACGGGAACTCTCCATAACTCCAAGGAAACTCCGCGAGAACCAACGGGAACTCAAAAGTAGCGGGCGCCGGAGGTAGCAGGAACCGCCTTATTGCTGGACAGCAGAGGTTTATATACCAACTGAATACACAGCTTGTTTCACTTTAGCATCATCCAGTTACAGCAATCAGTCATTATCTTAATAATTATACACAGCTTAACTTAATTATTATCATCTTAATGGCTCGCTGGCGTCACCTCCCAACCACTCCTTCTGGCAAAATGCCAGGCACCATCCCGATGTGGCAGTGGCTCTCAACAAAAGTCCACATATAGGGATAAATGCTATATCAGTGGCATGGACAAACTAAAGTATGTGGGGAATTATTAGCTATGTGGGGCTTAATTCTATTGGATATGCACCCCAAAAGCACTATAGTTCCATCCTTAAGATTTGCATACTCTGTGACTTCTAGCTTTTAATTCTCTCACCCCCACCCCCATTAAAGCTTTAGGATTGAAAATAGGCATTGAATGAAGGAGTAACACCAACATACTATTTGGATTTCCATGAAATTAACCAATTTAAAATTTTTGACGATTAGAGGATCATAAAGTGCTGTACTCAAATGTGTTTGGAAAGTGAGGAACACCAGGAAATACGTACAATTTACACTTGAAAATAATTCTATATTGAACTTTATCTTAACTTACATGGAATCTTGTATGAGAAGTAAATAACTGCAAGCAAATTATTAAAAATATGAAGAAAAATTCAATACTGAAAATATCCTACTTACACTTTCCCTGTGAATTTAGAAAAGATTATAATTCATTTTTAGACTACCTGTCCTTCACATATATAAAATTTAAAAATTATGGGGCACAATGCTAAATGTTCTATAAAGAGTAATGACTAATTAGCATAGGGTTATAAGTTGTAAATGTATTAAAGATAAATCATAAAGTAAAAACGTATTTCTCAATCACAAAACTTAAAAATCTGTACACTGTAGTAGGCAGAACAGTGGCCCCCAAAGGTGTTCATGTCTTACTCACCCAACCCTGTGAATGTTAGGTTATATCACAAGGGGGAATTAAAATTGCAGATGGAATTAAGCTTGCTAATCAGTTGATCTTAAAATGGGAAGATGTCCTGATTATCTGGGTGGGTTCAACTGAATAGCAAAGTCCTTTTTATGTGGAAGAGGGAGGCAGTATAAAAGAAACAGTGAGCTGGCAATATGACTGCCAGATGTTGCTGGCTTTGAAGATGGAAGAAGATGCTAAAGAGCCAAGGAATGTGAGCAGCCTCTAGGAGCTGGAAAAGGCAAAGTAACATACTCTCCCTAGAGTTTTCTGAAGTAGACTCATCTTGCCAAAACCTTGATTTTAGTCTCATGAGACCCATTTTGTACTCTGACTTCTAGAATTACATTTGTTTTAATCCATTAAACTTGTGGTAATATTTTTACTTTAGCAGTAGGAAGCTAATACACATATCCACACTGAACAAGATAATTTTGGCTGTATATGTCAGAAAACCTAGGATAATTGTAGCTTAAATAAAAGTTTATTTCTCTCCATGTAAAAGTGGATGGAGGTAGAAATTCAAGGGTGATTTTGGTATTCCAGTGTCAAGGACTCAGCTCTTTCAGTCTTGTTGCTCTGCCTTCTGTAAGGATCTTGAGCCAGCAGGTCTAATTTCAACCAGCAGGAAGAAGGAAAGAATGGTGAATCATCTTCTTTTGAAGAACTTCCTCAATGTTGCACACACCATTTCCACTTTTACATCTCATGGTCAGATCTAATAGCACAGTAGCACCTAGTAGCAGAGAGGGAAATAGAGACATTATTTCAAGGAGCTATATAATAAAGAGTAGACAGTTCTATCATTAAAGAGTAGGAAAAAAATTGGGGACAACTAGGTATTGAAATTGTAGAATGAAGCTATAACCATAATACTATGGTATTGTGATTTTTTTTCTCTCATTGTTTTAAGAACATAAAGCAAACCCGACCAGATTTTTGATCAATCAAGACAGAGGTCTTCATTCCACAAAGTTATTGAACAATTGCTATGTAATTGTATTTACTAGATTATGCATATACACATACATTAAAACATGCATATATACATGTTGAATGAATGATAGAAGACATCATACTCAAACTTCAAGGCTATATTCATGGGAGTGGAATGCTTGGCTGATATTAGCATTAAAAATAATTTTTAATGTCTATTTGCCTGTTACTTAGGGCCCTGGCAGGAGACTGATGACTTATTCAAAGAGTAACAGAAGAAAATATAATGAAGAGACTATTTACAAAGGTATGGGCAGGTTTCAAGGGAAGGAATGATAAAGCATCCAATGAATACCATCCATAGACCTTAAAGCACAAATTGAAGAAGGAGTTTCTGGAACTTTGCAAGGTCTTTAGGCATGGGACAGAGGTGTCTGACAAAAGCTATGGGCCTGAGTAGAATGAAGCTATAACCACAATCAGGCAGGAAGAAGAGTGGAATATCCCAACTCTTTCTTCCTCTCTGTTTTCTGAACATTTGTCAATGCCTCCCAAATTGGTTGAAACCAAACAGAAACCAGAGGGCAAAGGACTTGGTTGATGTGGTCCACAGAAGTCAGCCACTCAAAGCATGGAATGAATTTTCTGAGTGGGTAACAAGCATCATATGAAAAAGCAAAGCACTTATAGAGCTGGGAACAATTTTAAAAATCTTTAACCTAAAAGAGAAAGGGAAAAGATCTGAACAGAGCTGTGTCAGACCTGGCACAAAGAAAGATTAAGAGAATGATCAAAAAGTAAACCAGTGGGAGGGGCACAATGGCTGGTCTAGTTATATAAGTAGGATAAAGAGAGTGAGCAAAAAAAAAAAAGAGGCATGAGATGAAAGAATGAGAAAGGTTTGACCAAGATTTTGAAGTTGTAGTATAACTGAACACACTGGGTATTTATCACCAATTTTGTTAACACATGGGTGGGACATATAAAGCCTGTCACTGCCTATAGGTTTATACACACACACACACACACACACACACACTTTTTGTTTTCAGTCCAAGGGCTGAACAGCAGTTGTGATTATACCTGAGAATCTGTGGATTACAGAAAGCCAGGGCTGTAGGTCAAAGAAATAGCCATACTCTGTTCACAACCAGTCAGCAGCTAAAAGAAGTCAAGATGTCAGAGAAAAGAAATACATAGTAAAAAACAACAACAACAACAAAACAACAACAACAAAAAAACAGTAGAAACCAGATACTGGCACTCTGATATCAAGTCAAAATACTTAAAATTAATTCGAATTCAAAATATTCATGCTGCTGTCTTATATATCTATAATTCTAACTATTAAAAAGGGATTCCATGTTCACAAATAATATCAATAATAAAAACTGTGTTTCATGGAGGCAGTTTTTTGAAAGCATCCTCTTTACTGTGATTTTATGGAAAAGATCAGTACTAATTTTACTTTTTTGGGATTTTCATTGACATCCTACATCTTTACCTAAAAATATTTATACTTAACATCTCATTATACTCAAAATAATCCTGAAAACTTGCTCCCCATATAGAAAGCCCCATCAACATTTCATTGACTTAAACACATTTGTCCTTTTTATTACCTCCTGGGAGGCTTTATTTGAAAAGCTGAAATGGGTCCTGAGGACAACTCTTGGTTCTATACCATCCTTGCTTGACTCTGTGACTGCAGAATTTGGTGAAACTGTAGCAATGAAATGATCATCGTTCTCTTTGGTACCACTGTGAATCAGATTCAGAGTCTTATTAGTTGAGCCATGGAATAAGTAGAAGATTGAACAGATCTCAAAGTATAGACTATACTTTGAGAGTTAGCATGTATTCTTTTCCCCATCAAAGCTCTAGGAAAATAAGCATTGAATGGAGGAGTAACACCAACAATGCTATCAGGATTTCCATGAAATTAACCAATTTTAAAATTCTGATGATAAAAGAATCATATATTGCTGTACGTAAATGTGTTTGGAAAGTGAGGTACATGAAAATCATACCTTTGATGTGGAACACCATGAAATATGTACAATTTTGAGTTGAAAATAATTTTATGTTGAACTTTATCTTAACTTATACATAAATCTTGTACACAATTTATTTGCAAACAACTACAAATATATTATGAAAAAAATATATAAAAAATCAATTCTAAAATATTTTACCCATTTATTCTTTCTCAGTAAATTTGGAAAAGATAATTCATTCTTAGAATACTTGTCCTTTAGCATATATAATCACAGTGCTTGGTAAAAGCAAGCTAACATTTCATTAATACATTATTGAATGAATGCTGTATGATGGCACTCTTATCAGTGCCCCCTACTCTCTTCAATTTAATCTAAGTCTTAATAAATTTCTCTATAAAGTGATTCTAAAGTTGTCAAATCTTCAATTACATTTAAGAGATAAGCAACTATAATATATACATCAGGTTTAAAGCAGGACTTCATTTTTTAATTTACTTTGTATGCTTTCTCTTCAGTCTAGAGTTCATTGTTTTCAAGAATATTATATAAGGTATATAAGTCAAGTATTTAATTTATAAAATATAGTTAACACATACTTTTACAAAATTTATATTAGATTTGGCCTCTCAATATTTGTACATATGTAAAAAACAGGACTGAGTAGAATTAATCATTTAGGGAAAATGATTATGAAGAAACTTAAGAGCAATTAGACTGGATAAGACAGTAAATGGCTTTCACAGTCATGAATTCAACTGTTTCTAAGGATGGATTTGATAAGGGCAGATATTAATTTATTAAGTATCTACTAATGCCTAGGCCTTCTGTTAAATGCTGAGGATACAAAAATTAACAACAACAACAAAAACCTAATAAGTTACCTGATCACATAATATCTGGCCCAAGTTAACCAAATTAGTGACCTCTAAAGTAAGGAAGAAATTACTTTACCTCATTTTATTTGTCTCTTTATGATATTTAAGGTGAGGATGAACAATGAAAGAAATTTGGTAAGAAATTAATTTCAAGTCAGAAGGAAAAAATGGCATGTATAATAAATAATTCCTAAGTTTAAGGGTAGATAAAATGTGCTTGAGCTAGAAATAAATATATATATATATATATATATATATATATATATATATATATAATTTTTTTTGATTTTCTGGTTGGAAATTAGGTTAGCAATTTTTAAAAAGTTTGGAGAAAATTTCTGGCAAAAGATAGTCTATGATCTGATTCAGAAGACAATTGAAGAATATCATACAGTCCTTAAAAAGAGAGGAAAAATTACAATTGGACCAAGCATTTTGATGTGCTTAAGTTGCCGACAATATGGTATTGAGGGAAATGAGAAATGCCTATACTTAAAATGATCATGAGGGACAATGATTCTAGTTTTGGCATTGGGAAAGAGTACAGATACATAACATATAGCAAAGAATATTTATAATCCCATTTCATGCACTGATTAATGCCAAAGCGAATGGGATATCTTTTAATTTATATTCATGATTAAACTGATTTTGAATTACCAGACTTTAGCTGTAAGGTTATTTCGGTTGAGATTTGAAGAGATTCATCAATGGATCGTCTACATTTTCTGGTGAGGTGTGTTTAAATCGCAATTTTAATAAAAATTCCTGACATAGGCATGACAAAAATCGTAGGCACAAATTGACTGAGCATCTACTATACTAGCACTGGTACGTGATTTACTAGATTATTTCTAACGGTCCCATATGTCCGGTTTCAGTTTGCTTGATATCTCTATTGATTGCTTTTACGTTGTTAATCTATAACATCAGTTGAAATATAGCTCATTTATTCCATAAAGTTGTTCTCAGAAAATTCCTCATGTTAAAAGGGCAGGGAGCAGGGGGAGAAACCTCAGTCCCAATCCCACACTCTGAAGTCAACTTTTTCAGTATTTGTGGTGCTACATACGTGGTCTTTCAGAAATCCCCGAAACTGTTCAAAGTCAAGGACTTAAAATGAAATCAGCAATCTGTCTGCCTGGAGACATCTGGTTCTTGACTGACGGTCCTTACACAGCGAGGACCGCTCATTTAAGTAAGCCGTGGCCTGTTTGATACCTAAACTCTAAGTCACGACGCCTACAGCTCGGCGGTCTACCGGGAGAGGAAAGCGGGAGGGCGGGAGGAAGGCAGGGGCGGGGAGGCCAAGGTGACAGCAGGTGAGCGCCCGGCGGACGAGGAAGTGAGACTGGCGCCGCGCGGGGTTACTCATTCCGCTTTACTGCAAGCGGAACTTCTGCCTCTTTCGGTCCAGCTTAAGTTCGACCTAACTGAAGTCACTTCCCATCCTGGCTCTCTAGGGGGAAAACCGTGCGTCCGTGTGAGGGAAGGGACAGGACAGAGCGGGTCAGGTAGCCGCCCTCGTGACTCTGCGTGTCCTCGCCGTCAAGGGCCGAGTTCCCCAATCGCTCCTTCCCGGTTCCCCGAACCTGCCCTTCCCCAATCCTGGGAACTCCCTGGGGTTGCCCAGGGCTCGACCCTCTCCCGGCCCCGACCCTCTCCCGGCCCCGGAGTGCGGAGGGTGGACGAGTGAGGCGTGGGAGCCGGGCCCAACCTTCAGGAAGAGGGAGGGCCGACGGCCGCCCGGGATGCTCAGAGGGGCCGCTATGAGGGCACCGGGTCCAGAGCAGCAGCATCCAGACCCGTCGGCGTACTAGACAGCCGCGGCGGGTGTGGCCAGTCCAGAGGCAGAACGGCGCTGAGCCTCCAACTTCACCTTTCCCACTCGGACAGCCTGTCGTCCTCCTGACCACGTCCCCACAGTGTCCCAACGACCCAATCTCTCACCCAACCACACCTGAGGAAAACTTTTCCCTCTCCTCTCAATTCAAACTCCGCAGCGTCCTAGGTTGCCGCAAACCGTCCTGTCCTTAGCAACAAGGTTCCGGCCGTAGAGCGAGCGCCTCTAGGTGTAAGGAAGGTGATGTCGTAAAGCCGCGAGTGTCGTAAACCAGGTGCGGTGGGGAGGGGGGAGGGGTGGAGGCGGAGGGGTGGGGGGGAAGGGGGAGGGAGGGAGGGGGAGGAGGTGACTCGAGCATTTAGACACAAGCGAGAGGATCATGGCGGATGGCCCCAGGTGTAAGCGCAGAAAGCAGGCGAACCCGCGGCGCAATAACGGTGAGTGGCGGAGGGGACCGGGGAGCAGCGGAGTCAGGGGGAGCCGGGCAGCCGGGGCGCCCCCGGGGATGAGGGGGGCGAGCCGGGTTGGGGGCGGCCGGGGCAGGGACGGGCAAAGTGGAGTGGGAAAGTAGAAAGTAGTGCTCTCTGCCCCCCTCCGCTGCCGCCACTGCCGGAGCCGCGCCGCGGCCGCTCGCTCTCCCTGAACCGTTATGTCTCTTACCTGGTCTCTCTCCGCCTAGCGGCTCCTGCCGCCCCTGCCGCCTCCCTGGACCGTTAGCCGCGGCGGCCGCTGCATCCCCGGCGCAGGGCGGCCGGCAGGGACGCGGCCGGCCACTTTTCTGGTCTCGGGTGGAGCGACTGTTGCTTCTTTTCGCACTTTTCCCCACTCTTTTCGCCCCTCGGCGCCTCCCTCTCCCCCTCCTCTTCAGCCCTCTCTGCGTTCTGCTCCTCAGCGCCCAGGCCCCCGGGAGCCTAGGAACAAACTTGTGCCCGGCACTGACCGTGCAAAGTGGCTTCCGCGCGCCACGGCCACGGCGGGCGCTGGAGTCCGGGGCCCGCGGTTCGGGCAGGGCTGAGGGCGCGCGGCGGGCGGCGGCGACGGCGGCGGGACGGACGGCCGGGCTGCGTGTTGTCCGTGCGCGCGTGTGCGCGGGCGCCGGCGGTGCGCGCCGCGGGCGGACCCGGCTCGCCCGGCGGCGGTAAAGTTGTGACCAGCGCGCTCGCGGAACGGGGCTCCAGAGACGCGGGTCCCTGCACGCCCCTCCTCCCTCTGCACCCCCGGCCACTTTGCCCTCGGGCTCCCGATCTTGGGGCGCGGATCCGCGTGAGGGAGGTCCCCATTTTGTGCGGAGCTGGTGGGGCGGCACAGGGGGGGCAGGCAGGATCGGGTACCTACTTGCTGCTGCCAGGGAGCTCTGTGGATGGCGGCGAGCTCGGTGTTTGTAGAGTTATTACCTGGTTTTAAGACATCTGGAAGCACCACAGACAGATCCCCCTCCCCAAGTGGGACTCGCTCTGGGCGCCTGGATGGGGCTGTGTGCTTATGCCTCTCTTTTCTCTTTCGATTTTTGGGGAAGTTATTACCTGGGCCGGACGCACGGAGCGCTGAAGCCGGATAATGGAGCTTGGATGGCGCTCTGGGTCTCGGGTGGAAGAGGGTGGGGGAGGGGGGACGGACCGACGGACGCTCGGGGCTGCTACTCGCGCCGCAGCTGCAGTGTTTATTGATTTGTGCTGATGTGCCAGGGAAACACACACCCCTCTGCCTGGCGTGGGAGTTGTTTTTTTTTTTTTTTTTTTTAAAAAGAGAGAGGCAGAAACAAGGAGATCGAGACCCGAACATGTGGTGGTTGCACGGTCGCCTTTTCCAGTTTGAAGAGACATTGTAAGTTGATTGTATTTCTGCTTCTCTGGGGGCGATTCCGTGCCTTCTCTCCCTTCTGCTCAGCGGTGAGATGTCTGCTGATTGTTATTGTCTGGACAGTTCCTGTGGCGAGAGGGGCGAGACTGGCCGGCCGGGGGCGGCGGGAGCGCGGCGAGAGGTGCCCCCGCCCGCGCCGGTACCTGTTTGTATAATAATGGGCGGCAACGGCCCTGCGCCGGCTGCGGCCGAGTCTATATAAGGAATTACGCGTGCATTTCGGACCCAGGATCTCATTTTGGCTCCTGCGTTATTTTTTCGACGAGTTTTTAAGAGTAGGGGAATAAATGCGTCCCTGATGGGATCAGTGTCGCGTCCAGAAATGAGGAAATACGTGTTTAAGTGAAAACTCTCGCGCGGTCCCCCGCCCACCCCTCGCGCCTGGGCTCTCTTTCTCCCTCCCCTCCGGGATGCGAAACGCGAGGTTTTGTAACCTTTCCTGGCAATTTTAGATTTTGTGTGGGATTTCCTGTCTAGAAACAGATAGGAAGGTTTTAGGCTGTTCCAAGATGTTTTCTTCCAATCGTAAACATATTTTTAACATATTTGAGGCGACATTAAAATCACCGCTTTCATGAATGATTTTAGGTTTTCAAATAAATACCTGCATTTTAAAGACGTTTGTTAGTTACCACCGAAAGGTATATGTGTATCCTCATTGTGGAGACATGACTTGTTATAGCAAGGAGCAGAGCATAGGCTATTGCAATTTTAATTTCCTGTTTTAGCGTCACATAGTGTGTGTTCTATATTGAGCTGTTGCGGCTGCTGCTGATGTGGCTTTATGAAAGGTAAGTTGGTTCGGAAAGGGCTGCTCGCTTTTTACCTTATTTAAAATGTTGATCGCCTGAGAAAGGGGCTTTTCTTGTTGCTGACGACATGTGTGTGACATGTGAGTCTGAACCACCCAGCGACTGTGCAGCTGCTGTAAACATGTTTACCTGAACAGGAAAGAATGGATTTTTCTCCTAGACATTCTGTGATATGAATATTATACTCGTAAAGCGTATCAACAGATGACTTAAAGGGGAATAAAGCTATCCTGAAAGGTACTTGAATTCAACAGGAAAAAGAGATTCTTGATCGCTGCAGCAAATGGCAACTTGTGCAGGTAGAAAAAAGATGGTGTTTAGTTTTCTCCTGCATGTATGTCAGCCCCCTCTTGTCTGCTGCTTTCATTCTCGAGGGAGAGATTTATTTACCACGCTTGCTGTCAGTGTTTTTCCTTTGTGTTTAATATTAGAAAAACAGATTTGGGGCTTTTTAGCACAAAAAGCCTTGTCTGCAGTATGCATTACTCTCAGAAAACAAAAGGTGTTTAAGATAGCACTGTACAGGTATCTTCCATTTTCATCACTTTTGCTTCTATTCTTGCATTTCTTTTTGTTCTCATGCATTTTATCCATTGCTGATCATTATAGCCATGCTATTTGATTGAACCTCATATTTTGCAAATTAAAATGAAGTTACATGCCATTGTGTTGTGAAACCTCAGAATAGGTGCTGGTTAATATTCCTTAGCAACGCAGTCATCTTTAAGTTGCAGATGTGTTTTTGGACAGAATTGGCTGGAAAAAAACTCTTAAATCTTTTTAATGAAATAATGGTATATACAGTGAGAGATAATCAGAGAGATATTTTGTGTTGTTTATTGATACATAATATTTTTATTAATTTTGAAATAAGGTATGCAGATTTTACTACTAAGCCTTTAGTAAAACATTTTAATTTCCTTTCTGGAATATATCTGCAGAGTACAATATTAATGGGAGTTTCAAGTAATGTAGCTTGACAGGGATAAGCCAGTCGAGTAAGGTTTGGCTAAAGCATCAAGCATTGTGGGGTAACTTTATGGTAATGCCGTTAGTCATCTATAAAGGAGTGACATTAGAATTGCTTGAATTGATTATTGCCATTTATAGTTTAATGCTCTGTTATAATTTTTAAAATCTGTCTTTTATAATTTTCCACATTCTATTCTCTTTGTGACATGGTTTTCTTATGTTTTTTTCCTTGAGAAATGTACTCTAGCTGCTAATGACCACATTGTGATTGATTCACCTTAGATGGAATAGCAGGTGCATATTTTTCTGTCATTAGCACCATTTCTTCTTGCTGTCTTTGGAAACCACCAGTAGAGGATGCTAACAAAAATGATTATGGATATAGTTGTGTCATAAGTCTGTCTTCTGTGCTCATTGGGATCTGCTGTATAATTCCGGATTTTATTGTTATTTAAAACTAGCTCAGGATAAATTAGAAGCATTTTCTTGTTTATGGAGACTAGAAAGAAGTAGGAATATTTTAACTTGAATAATCTTGTAAACTTGAGCTTTTAAAATCTTAAATTGAGGTTGATATTATTTTAGTCTTGCATTAAAGTAATCATGTTCCTTTTTAAAAAAGTTTTCATAGGCTTGGGGAAGAAAATGTAAAGTGACTATTTACAGTGTATATTTACTATACTTCTTAATCTCTTTTGTTCATAGGTTTCCTAAAAAATTTTATTATTTTACATATTAAAAGGTATAAATGTTTAAGTATGCTAAGGAAAACAATTGATAATACTGTATAATAATTTTTCCATAACTATGCAGGGTTAGAATATAGATTGGATGGCAGATAACTACAAAAGTTTGTTAACCAGTACTCTCAAATATTAGTGGTTTCAAAATTTTACCTTTTCTTTCCCTTTCAAATCCATTTCCTATTGATAGCCCTCCCCCATCCCATTTCCTTAGTTAAGAATTGCATCTTATATAAATTGTAAATTTACCAATTATGGATTAAGGATATAAGTTTTATTTAAGTGCAGAAAGTTGGTAGTTTATTAATTGTTCATGCTTGTATTCAAAGAATACTACTTTCAGCAAAGTATATAAATTAAAATTATTACTTATACATATACATAATTGCATAGAACTTAATGTATTCAGTCATGTCTTTTTGTTTTGTGTCCCCAAGATTGTTAATATAACAGTAAACTTTAAGTTTTTCATTAGGAGTATTTATTTCCCTAATTATTTTTAATGGTGTTTCCATAAATGTTACTCACACCAGTACCACAATGCAGTAGTCTTGAATTAAACTAAAGCATTACCTGAATTGTCAGGTAAGCCTGCATGAACTTCTCATGGATATTGTGTGTGTGTGTGTGCGTGCGTGCACACGCGTGTGCATGTATGTGTGTGCATGCATGTGTGGTTTTTCATTTCCTGTCAGGTAGTTCTTTAATTCTGTATTCTAATTCCTTAAGCCCAATAGTTGAATAGGTGTGGTTCACTTTTTGATGAATTGAGAACTTTACTATGGAATTATGATGTATGTAATTGAGCATGGAGCATA